TGTGTGTGTGTGTGTGTGTGTGTGTGTGTGTGTGTGTGTGTGTGTGTGTCTTGAGTGTACTTTGGGGCATTGTCTTTCAAAGAAGGCAATCAAAACATTGAGGGTACTTGTTTCAAAACACCAACATACACAGTGCTGTAAAACTGAATGTCTGCCTTTGCTGGGACAGACTTTGGATCTGTACTCCATACATGTATAATTGAGATGTAACTAGTTCTAAGTATTTTCTGCTCTTTAGGGAAGCGGCGAGAACCAGGAGGCTTTCTGCATTTGAGAGCACTAAGATTTCACACTTTCCAGCACCACCACACCAACATCACATCCCTCTCACATCAGGGCTCTTTCTTCTGTAGCTGCCTCCATTCTGGTCTTTATGCCTTCACAAAGCACATAATTCAGAATTGTGTCCTAAATTTTAGATGTTTAGAAGCAAGTTCTTGAAAGTATGGGTAAGGCTCAATGGAAGATGTATTTCTTTAAGAGCTGCTGGGTACCCTACACTTATGATTACTTTCATATAAAAAGAAATAAAATAAAACAAAATGTATCTTGTGAACATCTCCCTTGAATTTGAAGAAGGTGATAATAGTGGGTGCTGATGTATGAGAGGCAGCATTCACTACGAGTTTGTGAAAGGAAAGAGAGAGAAGGATGAAGGGAGAAAGGGAGGGGAGAGTTAGTAGGGAGGGAAAAATGATGGGGAGGTGAGCAATTGAGTATGTGTGAATGTGCACGCGTGTGTGTGTGTGTGTGTGTGTGTGTGTTTTCCTATTTCCACCAAATCTCAGGAGCTTGTAAAACTTTAAAACCATCTCTTGTAGCCCTTTCGTTTGACAAGTAAGGGAACATTTGGATTGCTGCAATCTCCAAACCTTGTGGATTATTCTGGGGCCCAAAGTCTCTGAGCATTAGTGGCACAAGACACACATTTGTCTGCCTTCGTGTCTTGGAGACAGTCACACTTCAAGCTTCTCACGCGTTTACTTCAGTCTGTATTTCAAGTGATTAAGGAAGAGGACAGACAGCAACCTTGTGGCTGGTACTGTGTAAACACGGGCACTCTCCAAATGTGAAAAAACGAGCTTCAGAGGGGTTGAACACTGGACATGTGGCAGCCTACAATTCTGAATCAGTTTTATCTGTCTGTCAGGACCACAGTGAGGACTAAATAATGAATCTGTTTGTGAAGGGCCCAGCAAGACTGCAGTATTGAGCAGGCACTCAGATGTAATGTAACGCTACTACTTTTAAACAATGCCCTTACAAAAAGTTTCTACCGAGTCTGTAGGTCTCCACAGTGACAGTCCAAGAGCAGTTCTGTTTCAGTAGGGCGGCTATTCCTTCCCCTGTTCCCACTTCATGGGAGATTCAGTGACTCGCTGAACAGGAAGGAGAACTGATGTCAAGACAAGAGAGCTCCTTTTGCAAAGATGGTCTCAGGTACAAAACAAAATGGCCATAGAAGGTGTGAGAAGAACTGAAGAAGAAGAATTGAAGAAGAAGAAAAAGAAGAAAGAAGAAAAGAAGAAGGAAGAAGGAAGAAGAAGAAGAAGAAGAAGAAGAAGAAGAAGAAGAAGAAGAAGAAGAAGA